AGCAGCAGCTGCTGCTGCTGCTGCTGAGATTCCTGCTGCGGGCAAGCCTTCCCTTGTGCTGCAGCCAAAGCCCTATCTCAGAGCAGCAACAGAGTCAGCACGCTGCTGCTATGCAACGCTGCCGCGGAAGCCCAGGCAGCAGAGCCAGCAGCAGCAGCAGCAGCAGCAGCAGCAGCGGCTGCTGCTGCAGCAGCGGCGGCAGGCTTGCTGCTGCTGCACAGAGGCAAGGGGCCCCCTCTACACTTCGTGGCAGCCCAGATGCCAAAGGCAAATGAGCCGCACAAGACTGCGGCAGTTTCGCAGGGGGGGCCCCCAGGGGGCCCCCAGGAGGCCCCCCAAGGGGACCCCAGGGGGGCCCCCCAGGGGCCCCCCTTCTGCACTAGAGGGGTACGCGGGGGCCCTCGCTGGGGCCCTGAAAAGCTCCAGACCCTCGCAGCAGCAAGAAAAGAAGAGTTTTGTTTATCAGTAGGTCTTAGCTGCTGCAAATGTTGCTGCAAACCCTAAACTCTAAACCCTAAACCCCCTGGCCTACCTGCCGGCGTACAAGCTGAGCGGCCTCTCTGCCAAACCCTAAACCCTAAACCCTAAACCCTTTGCTGCTGCTGCACCAGGCCTTCTAAGTGCTGCCCCTACTGCGAAAGGGCCCCCCACTTGGCCCCCTGCTCTTCGCAGTCTTCTTACCCGAAGGACTTTCGCTGGCAGTACCTGCAGGCCTACGGGGGGCCCCCCCAAGGCAGCTAAGGGGGGCCCCCCGGGCCCAGGGGGCCCCTCTGGCGGCTCAGGGGCCCCCAATGGACCTGTGGGGGGCCCCTGGGGCCTTATGGAGCTGTTTAGGAATCAAGCAAGACCCCAAATAAGGGTTTAGGGTTTAGGTTTTGCAGCAACTCGTGCGGCCTCGTAAGCTGCAGTGGCGCTTCTGGGCCAAACTCAAAGCCCAAGGAATGCGCATGCTGCTGCTGCTGCTGCTGCTGATTTCTGCTGTTTTATCTTATTTGGTTTTATTTGTTTGTTTGACTGGATTGCAGTGTACGTACACCCGGATCCACGAACTCCGGGTATACTTCAAGCGAGGCTGGGGTGCCCTCTCCGCCTCTGAACCGATTTATGCGTTAAAGGGCATAAAATTGCCTTTTATTTGACAGAAAATAAATGAATTAAAATAAAATAATATTAATATTTGTTTTCTGAAGATCTTAGCAGCAGTTTTCAGAGGGAAGAGGCACAGACCAGCCCCCAGCGAAGGAACACACACTGGCGAGGTCACCTGGGGGCCTAGAGAGCTAAAACGAAGGCCCAGGCGTCCGGAAAAGAATAATATGAAACAAAAAACAGATAATAATAATAAAATGATAAATAAATGCAATTAGTTTTTGATCAAATTAATAAATTAACTCGACTTCTGGGCTCTCTGCCGATGCGACCCAGGCGCCAGCGAGCAGCGCAGGCCAACACCGCATGTGACCAGTGGTCTGCTGCCTGCTGCAGCCTCTCCTTTGTCCGTGCTGCCGGCAATTAACAATTAAATTAAAATTAAATTATATTTTTCTTTTTAAAAGTCAAATAAATCGAAAGAAATAGACGAAAATCCCGCTGGGCTGCGCACAGCCAATAGGATTTCAGCAACAGCAGTTCCCCACCTTCTTTCAAACCACAGGCCTGGACCCTAAACCCTAACCTCCAAACCCTCGCCCCCAAATCCCAAACCCTAAACCCTGAACCCTAAGCTTTGGGGGCGCCGCGACCGCCTGATGGTCAGGGGCCAGGGGGCTGCCAATCCCTGAACCTAAACCCTAAACCCTAAACCCTAAACCCTAAACCTTAAACCCTAAACCCTAAACCCTAAGGAGGAGCCGCTGCAGCTAATGGTCTACAGGGCAGGGGGCCCCGCCAGCCGCTGCGATCTGCACCCGCTGCTAGGAGACGGGGGCCCCTCTCCTCCAGCAACTTGTTCTCCAGCTTTGGAGGCCTCTTCGGGCAGCAGTAAGTGTTTAGCACCTCCTAAACCCTAAACCCTAAAACGCGGTTCGCTGCAGCTTCAGCAGCTCCTAAACCCTAAACCCTCGGCCGCCGCTTGCTGCAGCAGCGTAGCTCCCACGCAGCGAAAAGCAGGGTTTCGGGCGCGGCCTCTGGGGCTCAGAGGTCACGAGCTAGGGTTTAGGGTTTGCGGGCTAGGGTTTAGGGTTTGCGGGCTAGGGTTTAGGGTTTTGTGCAAACTTCAGAAAAGATGCAGCCTTCTGGCCGCGATGAGGAGACGCCACTAGATAACAAACCCCTCAAACACCCTCAGAAATGGGCCCTGTAAGTCCCTACCGTACAGGGGCCCCCCGGGGGCCCTCCGGGGGCCCCCAGGGGGCCCCCAGGGGGCCCCTTTGGGGGCCCCCCAAGGGGCGCCCCCCAAGTAATGCCTTCAAGAGGGTCCCCAAAAAGGGGCCCCTGGCGCACAGAGGAGCCAGAAGGGTCTTGCAGCGTTGGAGGGCTAGCAGGGCCTTCACAGGGTTTAGGGTTTAGGGTTTAGGGTTTAGGGTTTATCGTGAAGTGTTTCATCGTGTGGCTGCTGCGGTGTACGTACACCTGGAGCTTTGTTGGATTGAATTCTCGTATCTTTCTGTCTTTTTGAATTAAATTAATTAAATTATTTCATTTAATTTCTTCAGTCGCTGCTGCTGCTGAGCAGCAGCTGCATGCTGCGCGGCGCGGGGTGTACGTACACCTGGCGCGCGGCCGGGGTGTACGTACACCGCAGGCGCGCCGAGGTGTACGTACACCCCACGCCCCACACGCCACTTGTGGGGTTTGCTGCAGCACTCTTCTTGCTGCTCGAGCTTCTCTTGGAAACGCGTTGCTGCCTCTCGCCGTGCGGCTTCCTTCTTCAGCAATTGACATCAACGAGTGGCTCGCTTGCCAAGGTCAGCTGCTGCTGCTGCTGCTGCTGCTGCGGCTGCTGCGGCTGCTGCAGCTGGGGCTGGTGGTGGTGCTGCTGCTGCGGCTGGGGCTGGTGGTGGTGCTGCTGCTGCGGCTGGGGCTGGTGGTGGTGCTGCAGCTGCCGCTGCTGCGGTTGTGGCTGGTGCTGCTGCTGCTGCTGCTGTTTTTTCTTAGGTTTGGGTTTGCAGAGGGTTTAGGGTTTGCAGAGGGTTTAGGGTTTGTGCTGCAGTGTATGACATCTTCAACGAGTCGACGGTGGTTTGGGGTTTTGTGCAAGAGGTTTGCAACTGCCGGCGGCTGACAGCTGGCGAGTAAGGCCTCTTTCAGGGTTCAGGGTTTGACAAATTAGGGTTTAGGGTTTAGGGTTTAGGTCTTCCTTGCAAAATGGGAGTCTCCTATGCAGACAGCGACTGCGAAACAGCAGCTGGCCGACAAGCCAGCGCGAGGCCTGCGGGCTAGGTCTCAGGGCCTAGGGTCTAGCGCCTAGGGTTTAGGGTTTAGGGTTTAGGGTTTAGGGTTTAGGTGTGGCTGCGCAGCTTCAGCCTCGTGGCCCCCGCAGAACCCTCAGCCCCAGCCAGAGACCACATTAAAGGGGCCCTTGCGAAGTGCCGCTCCATTCTTCAAGACCCCCGCATTTTCGTTTGCCACCGCGGTAAACCCTAAACCCTAAACCCTAAACCCTAATTTGTGAAACCCTAAAATCTAGAGGCAAAACCCTGAATCGTAGCCCCGGATGTTTCAAGCTGAAAGCCTGAAGCCAAAATCATACAGCCTAGGGCCTGTAGCCGAAAGCCTAAACCCTAGGCATAAACCCTAAACCCTAAACCCTAAACCCTAAACCCTAAATTCAAAGTCTCCAAGAGGCAGAGGCTCTTTCTGGCTGCAGGGCTGGAGCCAGCGCCGAGCTCGAGGGTTTAGGGTTTAGGGTTTACGGTTTGCTGCTGCGGCTTAGGCCAGGAGTTTCCCCGCAACTTCCCTTCTTTCGTTTCGCACATACTTGTGCAGCTGCTGCAGATGTACTGCCACATCTACAGGCAGCACTTTGACTGGCTTCTCGAGGCAAACCCTAAACCCTAAACCCTAAACCCTAAACCCTGGACCTTAAACCCTAAACCCTGAAAACTGCTTCCTGGACCCTACTCAGTCGTTTCGTCGTTTGGGTGCCCTTGCCCAGAATGCAGCAGCAGCAACAGCAGTAGAACAGCAGCAGCAGCAGCATTAGTAAAGTTGCAGCAGCAGCAGAACAGCTACAGCAGCAACAACAGAACAGCTACATCAGCAGCACAACAGGTGCAGCACCAGAAAAACACCTGTAGTACAAGAACAGCAGCAGCAATACAAGCAGCAGAAGCATAGCAGCAGCAGAGCAACAGCTGCAGACCAACAGCTGCAAGAGGAGCAGCAGCAGCAAAACAGCAGCAGCAGCAGCAGCAGCAATTGTGTTTGCTTCTGCTGCATAGACGGACACTGTGGCGCATGTAAACTGCTGCTTCAAACATGCCCTTTTCTTCGGAATGGAATTCACCCTTGTGAAGCTTGACGACGTAGCCCCAATACGGGTAAGGGTTTAGGGTTTAGGGTTTAGGGTTTAGGGTTTGGGGCCAGCAGCCGGAGGCCCTCAGTCCTGCCTGAGGCCGGCACAACTGTGGGACCCCTAGAGCTGGAGGGTTTAGGGTTTAGTTTGGGGCCCCTTGAGGCCCTTTTTGCGAAAGAAATAGAGTTGCTGCTGCAGCAACCTTGCTGCTCCTTTTTGCTGCAAATGAGGCTGAGGGTTTAGGGTTTAGGGTTTGGAGGTGTTTTGGGTGCCTCAGGGCCTCGCCCTGCACTTCCTAGAGCAGGCCCGGCGGGAGATTGCGGAGGCGGAAGCTGCAGAGGGCACGCAGCAGCAGCAGCAGCAGCTGTTGCTGCAGCAGCAGCTGCAGCAGCAGCAGCTGCTGCTGCTGCAGTCGCAGCAACAGAAAAGGATCCCGCAGCAGCAGCAGCAGCAGCAACGGGACTCCGCCCTACTGCAGCAGAAGTGCCAGCAGCAGCAGCAGCAGCAGCAGCAGCAGGACAAGCGGCAGCTGCG